GCCATCCCCTCCGCAGAGGATCAAAATGGTGATGGCATATCTTCGGATCATCCTCCGGGATGTTTCCCAGACCGTCGCCAATAGCCCATTGTGCAGCTCTAGTGCGACTTAAATTAGCAACAATAACAACAATAACAATTTGGTTATGAGAATAAGAAACTGATTAGTGAAATATATTTTCCGACGAAGAATTTACTAATAAGGTTTTGTTTGAATTTCCATCAAATTGGCAAATGTTGCTATTTCGCATGCAGCGTGCATTGACCAAGCAAGAAAAACCACGTGGGTTAAATTTTCACTTGTTACGTAGCCCATTGTCTTTATAAACATTAACTACATGTTTTATAAACCAATTGTGGTGGCATACAAATATTTATGACTTACATTATAAAAATAAATTGGATGTTGTATGTCACATGGTGATTTAAACGTATAAACGGAGGCTTGTCATGTTATGATTTTATATTCGTCTTTGAACAGCCAACCCAGATAATAATAATACTATATAAATAAAATTATTACATAAAATAATTATGTGTGTTCATTCTGAAAATACTTACAATTTTTATTAAATGCACATTTTACACAATTACAAGGCATTGTGTAAAATTAAAAAATATATTTGCTCAATTCATTTTCATAGCATCACTATATGCAAATGAATATTTTTGCAATATGTAATAAAGATGGACTAAGTTTTTATTTTTCTCGTTGCACGTGAAAAATAGGTTAATTTAATTTTGATCTGTACCTCAGAAACATCACTTCAAATTAAAGTCGGACATAAATTTGAATGAAAAAATTTTAAGGGCATATATTTTTCTGCAATATTGACTAAATTTTTTTAACGTGATATTCTATGTAATGTAAAAACTCACGGGCCTTGTTCTGTTGCTGCCCAAGAAATTCATTTGGCTATAAATGTCAAGCTATATATTTTGCTGATTGATTTAAATCTCTGTTATAATTTCTCAAATATATGAAAATGTCTATTCGGTTAAAAAACCTAAATTAATTTTTGAAAAAAATTCCATATCATTATGTTCTTAAACATCCTCATGTTTCCAGAAAACCTTGTTAATAATATGTTTTGGTTAAATTATAGCGAATGCAATATTTAATTTGAATGTAATCAAAAGTTTTGCTATTTATTTGCTAGACAAGTTTGAAATGCAATATACCAGCAAAAAAAGAAGAAGGAAAAAAAAGCATGATCTAGCAAAAATATTTGCTGGTACCAGCAAAATTACTAGCATGTCATGGTATGTATTGGTACACTTTATTTGCTTGTCTAGCATACAGATACCAGCTTGTGTTGCTGGAATATCTTGCTAGTCTAGCAACAATCACGACCATCTCTTGCTAGGTTTCTGTGCTATTCCAGCATGAGTTTGAAATCAGCATATTTTTGTTGCTGGTACCAGTCTGAATTTTGATGAGCATGCATGAATTTTGCCTTATATGAGACTTAATAAATACACAAACAATATTTTTGGAATGATAACAGTTTTTACCGCTTTTTTCAAAATAAAGATAAAGTCTGTAAGGTTTTTACTTTTAACACATAAACCATCTGGAAGAGACCTTATGAAGAAGCAAACTGTTTTGCATTTTTTATTCTTACATTTTACAAATTTTATATTTATTTACTCTCCATAATAACAAGTTTATAATCTTCATAATAAAATTTAAATAAGTTCTAGGAACCTACTTTAAATAAATATAACAAGGTCTAAGGATTTGATAAAAATAAAAAATTTTTTTTTCGTCTAAGCTGTCTGTAGAGCATATTAAGCTGGCAAGTATAAAAAAGCATGTAATAGATTGTTATGGTATATCTACTTTTCCATGCTTGGGAGCCAGCTTAAACAGCTAATAAGCATGAAATGCTTGCACATAGCTTATCAAGTTAGTACGATGTATGCTAGGTATCTAGCATGTGATGCTGGCAAGCATAAAAAAGCATACAATAGCTATGGTACCTACCTTACCATGCTAGGGAGCCAGCTTAAACAGCTAATAAGCATGAGATGCTTGTACATAGCTTATCATGCTAGTACGATGTATGCTAGGTATCTAGCATGTGATGCTGGCAAGCATATACTAGCACGAAAATCCAGCAGACCTAGCAATACATAGCAAAAGCTAGCATATTTTTGTTGCTGGTACCAGCTTGAATTTTGACATGTTTGGCGTGGCTTATTTAAAATACAATTTAACTTTTAGCTGGTTTACGAAATTTTTCTCACATTCCTTCACAGTTCAGTGGCAACTACTTGACTATTAAGAATTAAGTTTTAAAACAAGAATTCTTATAGTGGAAAAATATATATTTAATTTAATTTTTAATCGCTAGTTTAGGCTTATATTTATTCATTGATCTAAATTACCTTGCATATTCTGATTTTCAAAAATTTGCATATCGCATATTTTCTAGTCACATTTGATTTGCATTTTTTAAAACTTGCAAAAAAATAATTTTAAAACATAATAACAGATAACTTTACTTTAATTTAATAGTTTGCAGAAAACAGCAGGATTTCTTAAAATAACTCAGATAAATCTATGTAGTTTATGTTATTAATGATTTCAAGAAGCCAGGAAAATAACAAAACAAAAACCTACTTACCTTGAAAAAAATTTTGAAATAGATTTTGAACCAGAAAGTTGGTTCTTTATTCATGCAACAAGAGATGCTCAGATGGAAGGGTATCTAATCAATCTATTAACACAAGATATTGATTGCTGACTCTATCTATTTTGGTTATAAACCACTAAATAGAACTAGCCAGGAAAATGACAGATTTTCTAGTGACAAGCAAATTATTAACAGAAAAAATTATTCTAAACGAAGTTTTTGTAAATAATACCCTTTGTGTATATTCTGGAAATGCTTACACCGGTTGAGATAAAGAAAATTAGATATTGAAAAATTTATGGGAAGTTTTGAAGCCAGTTATTATTGGAAAGATTTTTTGTGACATGCCAGAAACATGAAATTTTGAAGTTCAATTTAATTTTTTAAATATACAAAATAGTCGATGCTAGTACTAGGTTATTTCAGAATGCAAACAGCAATGCTATTTATTAAACTTTTTTTTAAAAAAAGTTCTTTTAGTAGTTTAGTATCAGATCTTGGTGCAAGTGACTGTAAATTGTCATATTTCGTGAGAATCACCCATATATGTATTTAATAACTTCTGCTTCAATAAACAAGTGACTCCATACATGCATATGGTTGAGGAGCAACCATGTACATATTCATACTGAGTTTTTTATAATAATGTGAATTAATTACTATCATATCGACTATTAATACTTCCAAAATCTATTTTAATTTAAATAGTCTTTGAACCCTAATTCAGAAGACAGGAGAACTTCTGGATCACCTATAGGGAGAAATTTGCCTTCGTGGAGGACTTTTTGACGGAACTAACCCGCATTTGGGTTACATGGAGAGGAAAAGCATCGACACCTCCCATGATTAGCCTGACGGCAAGTGGACTCTAACCCATGATCCGTCTACTACTGGGGACATTTTATGTCAGCACTGTGGTTGGTGCGAGTCGGGTACAGAATGTGCATCCACCAGTCATTGCTGGGATTCGAACCTGAGTCACCTCATTGGGAGGCGAGTGCTCTATCCCCGAGTCACTTTGACAGTTTAGCTTTTATTTATTAAATTCAGATTATTTTTCTTCCAGCAAGACGGTGACGAAACATAAACTAATTAAGTTACTTTTTTATTTTAAATTATTGTTTATTTAAATAAAGATAGTTGTAGAAAAATACGTCTTCCACATTTATCTCAATGGTTCCACTGATGACTAGAATAACTTGTCTTCGAGTAATAATATATATTCAACTGTTTTATGAAATTGAAATAGAAATCTCCTTAGTTAATACTCTTTCCATTAGATAGATATCAAAAACAAATTTCTAATGCTGAAATTTTTTATTTGAAGCAGGGTTTTGCATAGTTGAAATATAGTTAAATTCTTAATAATTAATTAACACAAGAAAGACGGCTAGGGTTATTTCGACTTCTCTGGTTTTTATTGCTCAGTAATTCAGAAAACAACTTACTGAAAGTATTGGGTATATCTGACTTTTCATAATTTGATCCAAATTAATCATTCATTGATTAGCCTTATAGGAAGGTATACATAAAACTTTATATTTAGAATGATGAAGGAGGCCAGACTGGTCCCTAAAGTATTTTAGATAAGTTTCCCGTAACCCCAGGTAGGTCTGGGTACGAGGTAACTTTTGGTAAGTATATGTTATTTCAGTTTCATTAAAAAAAACAAGAATATTACAACAATCTTCAATTCTCAGTGAAAATTGAATATCTTAAATTATTCTTCATAGAGAAAAAGAGATAGAGTCATCTTTTAATCAAATTTTTTTTTCAAATCAAATCGAATAAAATATCATCCAATTTTGATGACCGAGTCTCTAATATATTTTTTATTAAACTAGTTATAAATATGTTTTAAGATTTCGGATGTCTAATTGATCTGCGAACAAATAATCTGGCCCATTCTAACTCTCTAGGTATGCAGTAATGCTCAGTCTTTCTAGTGTTTATTTGCATGCGGCCTAATTTTTAAATCTCCTGATATGCAGCGATAGTGTGCAAAACATTTTTAAGAAAATATTTATTTAAAAAACACATTAGGAATTGACCCCCCTCTCTCTCTGTATATATTAAAGATAAAGTCTGTAAGGTTTTTACTTTTAACACATAACCATCTGGAAGAGACCTTATAAGGAAGCAAACTGCTTTGCATTTTTTATTCTTACATTTTACAAATTTTGTATTTATTTACTCTCCATAATAACAATTTTATAATCTTCATAATAAAATTTAAATAAGTTCTAAGGACCTACTTTAAATAAATATAACAAGGTCTAAGGATTTGATAAAAATAAAAAATTCTGTTTTCGCCTAANTATATGTTTTTTTATATTATATATATATTTTTTTAAATTTACAGGGGCTATGTGCTGCCATTACAGGTCCAACACTGATAGATCTGACACGCATTGTAAATACAGACATAGCGACCATAGCTTTCATTTATACTGGGAGATCATGTGGATATATTGGAGGATCGTTTATCGGTAGGTATGCAAGATGTTCTCTTATTGCAGCTCTTGATTTACTTTAAAAAGAAACTATGATTTGCTTTCTTGAAGCCCTAACTCTTTAATTATGTAAAGAAATGCTTTAAGACATTAAGAAGAAGGAATAACAATTATCATTAATAAAACTTTATTTCCCTTGTCGCTTTTAATAAAACTGAAATCTAATTTCGATCTTACAATTCGTTATTTTCCTCTTACTTATTATTGGACCAATTATGCTGATGCTTATTGATAAGTCTGCTTGCATGATTACAAATAATGTACAATAAGAGCTTTATTCAAAGAACAGAATCATTTTTTCAATTAAATAAACTAAAGTTACAATATCAGAAAGTATACCAAAAAATGCAGGTAGTTTAGAGTCAAGGGTTAAAAGAAAGTTTAAAAAAATATGTGCATAGTTTGAAGGTTGAAAAATTTTGAAAACTTTTCCAAGGACCAAGAAAAAAAAGGAAACAATATTAAAAATGAATTCAAGTAATATATAAATTAAAAATTTATTGGGTGAAATTCACTTTTACATCATGCACATGAATTAAAAATGAAGCTAAGATATTAATAATTCTGTAGAATAATTCTGCAAAAAAAAAATCAATTATACACATATATATACAATTTATGCATCGAACATGTTTCACTTGTTAATTCCGCACTTGATATTTTTTTTCATACACTTCTACAAAATCATTCCAAATGAGCCGATTGATGAATAATTGACAGTAAAGGAAAATATATAACATAAGACATTAATATAATTGATTTTCTTGGACCATATGTTTCAAAAAATAAACTGTAACTTATTGAAGTTAACATTACGCGCAAAACTAATGCTGAAATTACCAATGAAAGGGAACAAAGCACATGTAAAGCATCATATGCAACGTTATGTTAGTTGATTATTTTTCTATGATGATGATCATGAAATCTGGAAGATATAAAATCAAAAATAAATGCAATAAGTACAAAACTTTATTTATTTTTTGAATAATTGTACGAGCAGTATTTTTCGTTTGATTTTACAAGAAATGTATCAGAAGTTAATGACAGACCTTTTTTTTCATTTTCTAGTGTGAAGAAACTTATTTGTATTTCAATTCACTTGAACATTTTCTAGAATGATATCATTATCGACAAGACACGCCCGCATCATTAAAACTTTCAACTTGTACGCCTGTTTCATTGTTTTGGTAAGACAGTGGTTTGAATCCATTTATTAAAATTTATTGTGTACTTCTACTTAAATTTCGAACATTTCGTTAAGTTAGCTAAGACACCAGATTTTATCTGGGGTAAAAAGAGGTTTCCGAATTTTTTAGGCTTGTTCGAAATTATGTCAAAATTATGTGTTTGTGTGTCTATCCAATATCTGTTAATTGGAATTCATCTAAAGTAAATGACATTGTAAACACAAAAACGCATGTTCTGCTTATATGTCTGTTCTACATGTTCTACAGAACTATGTGCCCAAAGTATGCCCCGTCATATTATGATGAAATTAAACGTCCTTTCTTATTTTGGCCTTAATAAGAGCTTCGCATATGCCAGACATTAGCATGATCCATGCCAGATATTATTCATGCCAGACATTAATTGAATGTCTGGCATTAGATATGCCAGACATTAGCTGAAAATAATAATGTGTGGGGGACAGTATGTCACACTAAAATGTAGCGATACACCCTTTGGTCCATTATTCTAGTGTTTCAAGTGTGTGTACCAAGCCCCGATGTTTTATGTAATAATTGTCAAAATTACTGATTACAGGAATGAAGAAACTATTTTCTGCACTGATTTTTTATTTAGTAATTGATGCTAAAGGCAGACGTCTCGGCCCCTCCCCATGGCTGGAGGGGGATACACACTTTTCCCGTCAAATCGGACGAATTTTTGTTAGCACGCATAAAACACAAAAAGCCACGCTAAAACCATCGGTTCTGCGTTTTATAGGATAATTAAAATGTGTTAAGAGGCCAGTCATATTGCCTTTCCTGTATTCTTACGCCTTTCCTGTATATTACGCCTTGAAATATAAATCTAAATATTATTCATTGGTATGTTTTCAACCCTGAAGTCCCAAAATAGAATTTCTACACTTATCCTTTACCAAATATATTTTATGAAAATGAAAGAGTTTTAATGCTTTTATTAATACAAAAGAATTTATAATTTTTGTATTACATCCCCCCCCCCAAAAAATTTTTTTTTGGTTAGCCAAAAAAAAAAAAAAAAATTTTGAATACTATGAATTTATAAAATTTATGTTGGTATGACTGTCCTCTTTCTTACAAATAACCTTTTCTCAACATGTGAAAAAAATTATTTACAGTAACAACAATAAGACATAATAATGCAATTTTTCTGCTTTGGTAACTAAACAGAAAGAAAAATGAAACATGTTTATATAACTTTTCTACTAAAATTTCAAAAAATTTTTCCGCACAGAAATATGTAAATTTTTATGTAATCGAGCTGGACAACAAGTGTCATTTAATCAGAATTTAAGATTCTGTGCGGTTATTGGGGTTATTTACTTGATGATAGTCGGTATTCCCCGTTAAAATGGAGGAAAACAGAATTTCATGAAGCACTATGAAATTGAGAGATCCAGACTGGACAATACAAAAATAGTTAAGAAAATTTTTTCTCACTGTGTTGAGAAAAAAGTTTCCTCGCCAAACATCTCCACACGCGATTCGGATCTCTCAAAAATTTAGGGATTACTTCTTCTCTTGAAGAAAGTAAAAAAAATTGTTCTTTTGGATACTATTCATAATTTAATTTCAACATTTGTGGGTTGTAATTTTTCCTAAGTTTTGATACATGTACTACTTCAAAATTTTGTTTACTTACATTTTTATTTTTATTTTATTTTGTAATCAGTTTCTTGGTCATTCTTTCTTTTTCCTATTTTTTCTTCCCTGAAGTCCCAAAATAGAATTTCTGCACTCATCCTTTACCAAAGATATTTTATGTTCAAAGATATTTATTAAAACGAAAGAGTTTTAATGCTTTTATTAATACAAAAGTATTTATAATTTTTGTATTACATATATATAATTTAATTTTATGTTTATTTAGAATTCTACGAACTGTACGTTGAAAAATGCTCGGGGCATTCTTCCAGCCAAAAGGTAATCTTAAGTATTCAAATAGACCATTGTGAGTAGCGAATGCTAATTTCTCAGTGTCATCAGGATGAATACGAACATGATGATATCCCTGTGATAAATCTATTTTAGAATAATAACTACTNCGAAGTCTCCCAGTTTAATTAAATAATGTTTATAAATGATATAAATTTACCCTGTAATGTATTTTATTTCATTTAATGATATTTTTTTTTTAATTTTTATTTGATTAATCCTTTATTTATCAAATTATATTTAGGCTATATTTCTGCACGATAATGGTATAAAAATGAATGCGAAACTAGCATGGTAAAAATCACAAAGTTAAGGCACATTGTACTTCTTTAGTTTAACAATTCTCCAAATTGTAATTTAAATTTTTGCTCCTAACTGTATTATATAATTCTATAAAAAAATGAATTTTATAATAACAAAAATACCAGTCATTTTTTAAAGTAATAAGGCTCGGTTGCAAAAGAGCCCGGTAACATAGGTACCCAATAATCCTGTCTTAAGCTTTGAAAACAAGCATTAGTTTAAAAGAACTACCACAGGTAAAAAAATTAGAATAATTATTTTTAATCGGGACTTTAACAGAAAATAAGAAAATGTGATAATGATTTTTTATACCAATATTTTGTTGCTGCGATAATGTTTTTTCTCTAAAATATCAAATATCATCAATCTATCCTCTTAGCCAATATTTTCCTCACGTTTGTTTTTCTTCATTTCCATAGGTGGTATCATCTTTGATATGTTTTCTAAAAAGCAGTTGATTTTAACAACTGGTCAGCTTATCACCTCCATAACTATGATTGGAGTTCCATGGAGCAGAGATATTAAAACTCTAACCATATGGATGATCGTGAATGGATTCACGCTAGGAGCATTAGACACAGGTGATATAGTCTTTTTTTTTTATACAATTCGAACATAAACTATATATATACATACTCAAGACAAACTCCAATGGTATAGTGGAAAGTTTAATTACAAATGCTATCCTAATAATCCAAAAAATAATACACTAGCTGCGTTACAGAATTTATCAAAAATGAAAAACAAATACAGCCTGTTTCTAGTAATGAGAGGATGTATGCTGAAAAAAAAATAACACTAATATTGCAGTCCAAGGAAAAAAAATCTGACATTAATGGAAAATTCTAAAAATGAATCGTTATTGAGTTCATTTTGGAGATCGTCAACAAACTATCTATACTTCGCTCACCAGGAGTTGGCACTTGGCTCCACCTTCTCGGACTATGAGTTCATTTCGGAGCGGGAGTAAGCGGAGAATCATCTCCACGCTTGAAAATGAGACAACCCTTAATGAGCGCCAAACTCAAGCAGTGAATTCCTTTTAATTTGCTATGATACCTTTCGTTACTCCAGCTAATTAAATATATTTTAAATTTAAAAACTGATGTTTTCCCAGTAAAATGTCTCAAATAGACAGACTAATCACTCTAAAGAGAGAAATATCAAATTTATGTCATATTTATTTTAAATAAATGCTCATAAAGATTGCGAAATAAATATTTTTGTCATACAATCGCCAAATAGCAACCTTGTTCAGGATTGTTCTCATCCTTCTCACAAAAATAGCGAATTAGCATAGTCGGATACCACGTGATGGAAGCGGAGCCAAGTGCCAACTCCTGGTGAACGAACTATAGGAGAGAATAATCTGGAATATAGCAGCCCACAGTGTTCCATCGAAGAACTACAAACATCTCCTGGCTCTTCGATTCCATTAGGGAACAGACATGATTGCAGGCTTAAAGTAGATGTAAAACTGATGGGGAAACTTCTACTCCTTCTGGATGTTCAAAACTTTTATTCATCACGCTGACGAGGGCAGTAAGTACTGGTTGAAAAATTTACTTTTCGGAGTAAGGGACAGCTGCTGTAACATTTTTAAAGAGTGGGTAGCAAAGTAGCCTCATAACTCAAAAATCGACTTGATGACAAGCGAGCAGGTAGCTAGATCACTGAGTCGGTGTATCTGGTAAAACCCGAACAACCATCATGAAAAAAATATTTAAAAAATGGACTGGAATGGGTGAGGAAAAAAAACAGATTCTGTGAATTGCATTAGTGTTTTCTGTTAATTTCCTTGTTTTCAAGAATAGAGGCTATTCATAAAAAAATGGCATACTTTTTCACATTGTTTTCGAAACATTTCACCACCTTAAAAGAAAGTTTCACACTTTACCATACCATGTTCTCCCTTGTCAAACATCAATGATGTCAGCACTGTAAACCAGCAGACTAAATATAAAAGAAAATGTAACGCAATAGAGAAAATATGATTCCTTTGCTCAATTCAGCACGCCAAAATCAGTAAAGTATGTATTACAGAAAAAACGCACTACTTTTCACGTATCAAGACTCAACCTTTGTATGCAAACATTAACAGCTTTAATAATCGTAAATTTACCTTACCAAACCTAAAATACGCTAATTATTATCTCAGACAATATTTGAAGTTGCAAAATCGGGTATAAAAACGTACTTTTTCTTCCTAGACATACTTTTTTTTCAACGGATTTGGATGCTTAGCCTTCAAAATGTAGAGATCTGGGAAATATGATCGCTATAGTTTGGTCGGTATAGTTTGTACTGTATAGCTTGGATCGATATAGTTTTGTTAACTTAATATAATTTTATTTTTGTGTACTTCGCCATATTTCTATAACAAGCAAGTGAAAAATCTAACTATCTAAGCAAGTTGGAAAATTTTTGCACACAATTATAAAATTCCTTTATAGAACGTAGAGTTTATGTAAAAAACAATTTTTAATAATTATTTATTATATTTACTATTTTATGCAATTTTTGCTGACAACATTTTGAATCGTAAAGTATACAATATTTGCATTATTTCAAAGAATGTAATTTTTCGTGGCAAAATTTGATGGAAATCAGTAGATTAGTTACTGAGAAATTAAATTTTAAATATAAGATTTTTTTTAAGTGTGATTACTCAGTTTATACTATTCGAAAATTTTTAACCATAAATTATTAAAATGTCAAATATTCTTCACTTGTTTTATCCTAAATTAATACAAAGTCATGAAAAAATTAAGAAAAATATGCTCAATAAAAATTTCGGGTCAAAAGTTTAAGTATTTATGTTTGTTAACCCAGTCTATTAAGGTGTCTATATTCACTTTCTCCCGATCTCGGTTTCCCGTTCGATTCAACTTTCTTTGCCTTCTTCTCTTAAATCGTTAAAATAAACTCTTCCGGTTTGCTATACTCTCACTTTGTGCACGCCAACTCGTGATAAAGAACTTATACATAAAGCTACGTAATTGCAAATTTTGGAAACGAAATGTTCTGTGTTTTTGTGGAAAATCTTAGCGGATAAGAAAAAAATTAATGATCAAGCAGTTAGAAGCAATTGCGGGGGTTAGTAAGCAGAAAGTGTAGTAGGCGAAGTCTCCCAGTTTAATTAAATAATGTTTATAAATGATATAAATTTACCCTGTAATGTATTTTATTTCATTTAATGATATTTTTTTTTTAATTTTTATTTGATTAATCCTTTATTTATCAAATTATATTTAGGCTATATTTCTGCACGATAATGGTATAAAAATGAATGCGAAACTAGCATGGTAAAAATCACAAAGTTAAGGCACATTGTACTTCTTTAGTTTAACAATTCTCCAAATTGTAATTTAAATTTTTGCTCCTAACTGTATTATATAATTCTATAAAAAAATGAATTTTATAATAACAAAAATACCAGTCATTTTTTAAAGTAATAAGGCTCGGTTGCAAAAGAGCCCGGTAACATAGGTACCCAATAATCCTGTCTTAAGCTTTGAAAACAAGCATTAGTTTAAAAGAACTACCACAGGTAAAAAAATTAGAATAATTATTTTTAATCGGGACTTTAACAGAAAATAAGAAAATGTGATAATGATTTTTTATACCAATATTTTGTTGCTGCGATAATGTTTTTTCTCTAAAATATCAAATATCATCAATCTATCCTCTTAGCCAATATTTTCCTCACGTTTGTTTTTCTTCATTTCCATAGGTGGTATCATCTTTGATATGTTTTCTAAAAAGCAGTTGATTTTAACAACTGGTCAGCTTATCACCTCCATAACTATGATTGGAGTTCCATGGAGCAGAGATATTAAAACTCTAACCATATGGATGATCGTGAATGGATTCACGCTAGGAGCATTAGACACAGGTGATATAGTCTTTTTTTTTTATACAATTCGAACATAAACTGACATTTCTATCAATGTGGTGTTATAAAGATTTATGGTTATGAAATTTCCGCTTAATATAAGATACTGTCGCAACTTTTGAGAACAGAGCTCGGCAACTTTAGAGTAAACAAAACATATTTTTAATCTAGTTTTCAACAATATCAATTGAGGTATTGCAGAACACTGGCCAATCATGAATTATTTTTAATCTAATCAAATATAAATTTTTTGGTGATTCAAATGCTCGATTAATCATTAAAATTTGCTGCTTGGGTTTCAGTCTCTTTCTCGAAGATCGAAATGGGTTGATGACGGTAATATTTTCGCGATGTACGGTGATGATATCACAGGATTTGTATTTTAAATGGTATTTGAAATCACGTGTTGATACTTGCACTATGAAAGCGTGTTTCTATTCACCCTACTCCCGACCGTATTTCATGTTCTTCGAGGTAGGGGACAGTATTTGTAAAAGTGACTCTTGGTGACTGCAATGTAGGAATTTGGAGTTTCCATTCTTAAACTCCATTTTTTATTGATCAATATTTTCATATTATTGAAGATAACATAAATATTTACTATTTTTTCCTAATTTATTTTTCTCTCTGAAATTCTGTTTTATTTTTTTTCTATTCAATGAGAATAACACATTATCTAGAAGTTAAAACTTTCTTATTTCGTCTTTCAAAATTTGCTGTGACTTTTTTCTCTTAATCCTTTGAAATCTTTTGCGGTCGGTTTTTTTAAGGCTGATATGATTTGTGGATTTTAATCATTATGTCAGTGTTCAAAGAAAAATCTTTTGCTTCTTAACCAATACCAATCGTTATTTGGTCTTTTATGATGAAAAAATTAATAAAACTATAAGTACAATTAGTTAAATTTAAAATGAAGTCTTAATTAAAATTTTAGATGGAAAAACAAAATCGAAAAATATTTTAAAACTGCTATTTACTTTTTCAAAAAAAAAAACTAAATAAAAATGTGTTAGTCAATAAAAAAAAGGTGCTTTTTCCCTTTCAAAATAGCCGAGTTTAGTTGTGCGGGGTAATTAAACTCAGCTATTTAATTTAGCCATTTTTATGTAGTTTTTTTTTAAATGTTTCCTTAAATAGCTGTCATGTGAAAATTAAACCAATGAAAAAGAAAAATTATGTGCACTTGGTGACTTTGCGTTGGCAAATTTTTCACTTGCGCCTGCAAAATGGAAAGTTTACCAATATAACATATTATAAATATTAAATCAATAAACTCACTTGAACAGTATTGATATTTTCAGAAAAATGTCCCATTTTTTTAAAGCACAATAATCTTGTCATTAATTGTATTACCTTATCATCTTATCAATATTACAAAGGAAAGAACTGAAAACTATTTAATTTATTTAGATTCACTGTGATTGAGACATATTATATGAGTATTTATAATATTTTATGGTAAATATTTTATTTTGATAAATGATTCTTGATATTTTTTAAAAAAAAAACATTTTAATTTTATCAATTTTATTCAGTAAAACAATCAAACTGTTAGGCATATAAAATGAAAAAATAAATATATATTTTACTGAATTAGCACAAAGATATTCAAATGGTATTCAGTTTGATTCGATAAGAATTTTATATTTTATAGATAAGTGCTAATGTTAGTAATAAATCTTTAAAGAGGAAAATATTTATCATCATTTGTTAGTGTAGTGTATTGATATATGCACATTATTTTTTTAATAAATAAAACAAAGCAATTAAAATTTTCATTAATAAACATTTTTGGAGACATTTCTTCAAAACTGAAGGGCAGAATTCGACATAAACAAACGAAATATTGAGCAATTTAAAATATAACGAGAAAATTATTTTTTCAGCTTTTCGCATGAATTGCGCATGCGCACTAGAAGTGCTCGTGCGCATGAAATCTTAAATACGGGAGCGTAAGGAAGCTAACATACATTTTACCTTCCTACTGTTTTATTGATAGTTTACTTTTTTCACCCCTTAAGACGAAGGGAAATTTAGCTAATGTACAATATTATCTACTGTTTTTAGTTATGCAATTTATGACATTCAAATCTAACACAGATAGATTATAAATATTTTGAAATATTGTTTATTATTTATTGCATGGTTTTTTTGGCATTTTTTATTCTAAAAAATGTATATTTAGTGACCAACTTTCAATATTAGAACTCTCAAGCAAAAAAAGCCGAATAAAATATTAATATTTAGTAAATGAATAATTTTTAATATAAATATTGAATTTATCATATGTAATTTAAATTTGCGTACAAAAGGATAAAGAAAAATTCGCAATATTTCTTACTCTGACAGTGTATACCTAGGAATTCGTAGACAGAAAAAAACATTAAAAAAATATTCTGCATTTCCTAAAGATAATAGAAATTTTTATTTCATTAGTGTTGAAATTTTTATTTTAATTAAATTTTGCACTTCTTAATATTTACCCATTTTGGATGTTTTTCATTTCAATCACTATTTAAAATGAATAGTAGTTATTTCTTTTATAAAATTAGAATTTTTACATCCTATGAATAAAAATAATGTGACGATGTTGAGAGCACATTTCAGTTTCTAAGACTAATTTGAGAAAAAAAATCATCAAAATTGTTTTTTTTTTTTTTTTTTTTNTTTTTTTTTTTTTTTTTTTTTTTTTTTTTTTTTTTTTTTTTTTTTTTTTTACGTTTCAATTTTGGCTGATTGATTTATTGTTGTTGATTCATAGATCTCACGTCAAAAATCTGTTTCTGTTTCGACCCTTCACAAATGTAATTGGATGAAAATGCTAATTTTTTAAAAATCGATTTAATTTTCAGGAGCAAATGTTTGCTGCCTAAACCTGTGGGGTAAAGACAGTGGACCATACTTTCAAGCACTCCATTTCATGTTTGGCTTTGGTGGATTGATAGCTCCTCTCGTAGCAGCTCCTTTCCTTGGTGATTACTCTGAATATGATGAAATGAAGAGCAATATGACACTAACTGCCAATGATAGTGATTACCCAATTCCTACAGAAGCAATGTTTTTAAATGCATCAAGTATAACTTCCGCTGAAATACCCCGAGTCACCTACGCATACATATGCATTGGAGCCATATCGTTTTTAGTTTCCCTTCTGTTTTTTGTGATGTCAATCATATCACCAATCGATGAAAGTGGTAGAAAACCTGAAGAAACAGAATCTGGCAATAGAAGTTTCGGATTTACGGCCATCATCGTAACTCTAACCTCAATTTTAGTCACAACTGCAATGGGTACTGAAATTGGATATGCTCAAATGTTAACTACTTATGCCGTTAAAGGACCACTGCATCTAACACCGACTACCGGAAGTTACATGACATCAACCTATTGGGCGGCATTTACAGTTACAAGGTTTGCAGCAATATTTTTGAGCGTTAAATTTAGCCATTTAACTATATTAGTATTCGATGTCATCGTAACGTTCCTTGGTGGACTTGTTCTGTTAATTTTTGCTACTCACTACGATTGGGCTCTTTGGGTTGCTTCCATATTTCTCGGAGTTGGAATAGCATCTTTCTTCCCAGCATCAGTGAGTTGGATTGAAAAATATATCAATATCACCAACAAAATCGCCTCAACATTTCCTATCGTAGCTTCTTTTGGAGAAATGCTTATTCCTTACGCAATCAACTACTTTATAGAAACGAAGCCAAAAGTTTTTATTTATGTAGTTATTGGAAGCTGTGCATTAGCAATTATTGTAACATTTTTTATGTATTTAATATTAAGAAATGCACCTGGTAAATATACTATAAAGAGACGTGTTGTATATGTTTCTAAGGAAAGCCATATATAGTGTAATTAAGGCAACTAATAAATAATATGTATTCATTTTCAAATAATTGAAAAGTAGTAAAGAAGTTAATTTAGTGCTCTTAATTTAGTATTATTCAGTCTAAAATAAAACTTTTTTAAATATAAATCATGTTTATTATTAATTAAGAAAGAAGCGTAAAAGCAAAATCAACGCAAAATTGAAATGAAAAAAATGGCAAACAGTAAATCAAGGGTTTAAATCTCGAACTTCTGAAAATTCCAATTTGGACTGGGCTATAAATTGAAGTATCGAGATAAATCGATTTAGCGCATATATCGGCAAGGCGATACAGCGACTTTCATTCAAGGCGATGCATCAGAAATCTGATTTAAGCCGTCGAGTAAAGGCAACGAGCGCAAAACGATATAGCGATATAAGACACACAAGGTTATAAGATAACGATAAAGCGATATAAGACTCTTCTCTTACGTTCCGATGTCGACTCGCACTGTGGAAGACGATGTTCGTTTCGTTATGTTGAAATGGCCTTGATTGGTGAGATGTAAAATCAGAATCAGAGTTTTGAGAACACATATCGTTATATCGCATGTTCCTTTTCGCACCTCTTAGCTTTTTTTTTTTTCTTTGTCGCGACTTTTCTTGTAGATTATTTTCAGTGGGACTAACTTCGTGATCGCCGATGTTACCTTGTTCTGAAGGCAATCTATTATTGAAAAGAATATATAAAGAAGAGTTTCTTCATTAATTAGATAAGTTTTTTACTTTCTTTTAATTTATTAAATTTTTTTTGGATGAAACTTCTAATAATTTAATGAGTTTTTATTACTGATTTTAAATTTATACTACAGATTGACTTATGTCCAAATTCAAATGACAAAAATAAATTTTGTTTTAACTTTATTTCTAAAAATAAACCTTGCTGTTTTTATTTTTAGAAATAAAGTTAAAACAAAATTTATTTTTGTCATTTGGATTTGGACATAAGTCAATCAACTTTTTTTATACAAACAAATTTGAAAGGTTTGCGTATTTTATTCATTTTTTTTAAATCATTTAGCACTTCGTTTTATTAGAGAGTGTAATAATTTTTTTTTAAAAATATTCTTTTCATATTATTTGTTAATTAGCTAAATATATTATCGAATATCAAAATTTTTTTATTTTTAAGAAATTAAACCTTACTTTGTTTTTCGTTCATAATTCGGTCATTATTTAATTTAATTTAATTATGTATCTGAAATGATAAGGTCCCGCAGTGGACTGATCGTTAAGACAAGGTTCCCTGCAGATCACCGAAGTCAAGCATCACGGTCAGTGTGCGGGTGAGTGACCACTTGGATCAGTCTGCGTAGGGACCGAGGGTGTGCGGTATTGGTCCTCGTTAAAATGTTCTACCGTAAAGTGCTCAACTTCGCGTGCAGGTCGTCGAGCTACCGAAGCGGGGGTGCCATCCCATCTGCAGAGAATCAAAATTGTGATGGCATGTCTTCGGATCATCCTCAGAGATGTTTCCCAGACCCTCGCCAATAAGCCCATTGTGCAGCTCTAGTGTGACGTAAATGAACTATAATAACTGAAATGATAATAATAAAAAATAGTGTTTTAAAAGCGTTTTCTTTTTTCTAAAATTTATTTAGCACTTTGTTTTAAACATACAAATAATTTTTAACGTTTCATTTAGAAATTGAACATTAAGATCAAAATTAATAAATATGTAATTATTTATGCATAATAGTACAAGAAAATATTAATTTGTAAAAAGCGCTTCAAAAAAAGTTTTTAACACTTTGTTTTACGCGTGTTATGAATTTCTAAACAAACATTTCAATAAATATTTTGAGTAAGATTTTTACATTATAGTTAATTTATTTAATATTTTTCTTAAGCAAATATATATCTTCAAATTTATGAATTGATTTAAATCAATTTGAGTACGAAGTTTTGATGGAAATCTGCAGCTTTACAAGTAAATGAAATTTAAAAATACTATATCGCGATACATCGGTATATCGCGATGCAAAACTGACGATGCATCACGATATATAATTTTTAATATCGCCCAGTCCTAATTCCAATACACCAACCATTGCAGGAACTTTTGCATCTAAAAAGAGATGTGCCTCATTTATGAAATTCTTCTAAACTACGTGAAAAATAAAATTAAATTTCATAAATAAGAATTATAAACTTAAAAGTTTTAGTTTGCCCACTTCATCAATATGACAATCTAGTAAAGCCCATCTTAAATCGTTTCCAGTTGGTTATATCAGTTGCTAGCTTTCTCTTTTAATTTTAACGTATTTTACCAGAAAGTTAATTCTTCTTGTTTTCGTTATTCCTCAATTTTGAGTATCAATAAATTTATAATGGTTAATTTATTAATTAGATCACTATTATCTTTTACTTTACCAATGTATTCATATTGCTCTGAAGAAATTTATATTTTCAATGATATTTGGCTGTTGAAATTTGTTAAATAGTTCATGATTAATCTTGAATAAAACCAAGCAAGATGACACTAACAATTTTTTGTTATAAAAATCAGAAATTTATTTTTGTCAGATCCGTATTCATTGACTTAAAGTAATACAAGCTTTCTTTAATAAATTACTTATTTTTAATATTCGTTAAAACTGGTATTAGCATTGCTTTAAGTAGATTTCCTAAAGTATAATAACGGCTTTGTGACAACGATATCCTAGCACTAATTTCGATTTTAGTTTCATTATTATTTTTTAATATAGTGCAGTTTGATTGTTAAATTTTGGATATGATCTTGATTACATCTGATAAATTATGAGAGTAGGTAAGTTAGTACAATAATGGTATAACTATAGTAATTTTATAGCTCGGTAGCTATAGTAATTGTATAGCTAATTCTTAAAGAATCTATAGGTACGTTACTACAATAATAATGTAACTATAGTAATTGTATAGCTAAAATAAATGAACAGCTAATTCTTAAGGAATCTAGGTAAGTTTTTTACAATAATTATCTATAGTAATTGTATAGATTGGTGAACGAAATATTAAAAAAAAACATTGAAACTTTAGTTTTGAAATGGTTCTAATAGTATGTGCGATAAGTATTTGTTGATATTATAATAATTTTAATTAAGGGGTACATTCAATCATTGCTTGCATTTGTAAAGCATTCTAATTCTTAAAGAATCTAATTCAGACAATGATTTTTTATCGTAAGTTTGTGGAATGTAATTTCCATCTTTAGTCACCATAGAATACTTGTTCCAGCTCTTTGCAAAGAAAGTACTGCCATATAACATGACAGAATTGATGTCGAATCTGGTCAACAATCTGTTCTGTACAGGCTGGAGTTTTTCGAAGGCATAGTACCATTCTGCAAAAGAGAAACCATGATTTTATTTCAAATATAGAGTGATTCAAAACTAGCAAAATAAACAGATACATCAACCATATAATACAATGATCATCTTATTTACTATATATATATATATATATATATATATATGACCCCATATTTCCTCCTATCATTAACCTATAAGAAGGTAATACATTATAACATACTATACTACCATACCATAGAAAATAATTATAGACAAATTAGGGATCCAAAGTGTGGCACAATATTTAGGTACGTATGCATATATTTTTAACTGCATGCAATAGCGTTAAAATGGAGAAATTATTTCTGATATTTACTGTATATATATGCATGGCCCTATAGCTCCCTTTAACAATAACCTATAATTTTCTAACTAGGTCAGGTATAAGATTCTAAAATAATATTATCTTCTTATATCTATCTATCTAACTATATAATGTATTTTATTACTATTATTATTATCAATATATATTACATATAAATATTCATAAATATTTATTATAGACAAATTGGGGAGCTAACTCCAAAATGGTTCCATTTAAATTTCGCTGGAAATTACTTAAAAAGCTTGTTATGAGTCAGGCAGCCAAGTGTGACTGGTTCTAATTCGTCTAACACCAAACTAACTGGCAGATGCTTGCTGAGAGTCTAAGTGGTAAGAGGTCGTCATAGCATGGAAAAAACTTTTTATCTCAAATTATTTTTTACCTCCATAACTAATTTAAAATCTTAACTATTCCAAATGTGAGTTCAGGCGGCACAACTAGAGTAAGTAATAAAGTCTCAATTTCTGAAGGAAAAAAAAAATCTAAATATCTTAATATAAACGAATTATTGCATTTGGTGACGANTAGCTTATTTCAAATATATATATATATATATATATATATATATCCAATTATTGGACAATGCTAATATTTTATTCTAAATACTAGTAACTCAGAATGGCCATCGGAATAGTGTTATCACTTCTAAAATTTTCTTTTCATTGCATTACCAATTGGCAAAATGGGTCTTGTTTTGGGTTTAATGGCGTCCGTACTTTATTTGGACGTCATCACACTTTTCAACTGTGCTAAAGAGCAATAGTAAACAGTGCGCATGTGTCGTCATTGCATGCGTTGCAATGGCGACCGCTGCTGTTTAATAATTTTTTTGGAATTCTATTTTTCTTTTTCTTTTCAACTGCAGTCATTCTTAATGTATTGAGATAATAATAATTTAAAGCATTTTTACCTTCCTTTTATTATTGACTTATAATTACTGTCTTGACGGTGATTTTAATATAAATATGAATACTGAGGAAGGAAAAGTATTTTGTGATATCGTGAAACACGTATACAGGCAGGATTTTAAAAAAAATCCGACTGCAAACATCATGTGAGACAAGCATTTGACCAACGAGTAACCAGTGATCGTAATAAAGCAATTACATTTTTCTTCTATTTTGCTTTTGTATTAACATTTCTTCTTATCAGCGTTTTTATTTTTTTTTTTCATTTTCAGAATACGAATTTATTCAAGTGAGTTAATGATCGGATCTTTATGTTCTAGAACTCAATCTTGATGGCTCGAGGAGGTGACCTTAAATATGCTAATTAATAAATGCAGACTATATTTTTAGTCACGAAATCAACCTGAAAAACGTACTTCCTCTAAATAAACTTATCTTCTTTTTCCCGATGGATTTGGATTTCTGACCCCCAAGATGTGGGGGTTAGTCGAAATCTGGGAAATATGGCCCCAGAGGTTAGGTCAGGAGAGCGCTCAAAAGTTTGAACCCATAATGTAAATTTTACTTTTTCCGTATTTCGCTATATCTCCAGAACTTTTTAAGCGAATTGAAAAATTTTTGCACGCAATTATAAATAATTCCAAATTTTTTATTTAATAATGGTCGAGAAACATTTGAATACAATTCGGTTGAATGCAAATAGGTAAACAATTTTTTGCATCATCTTAAAGAATGTAGTTTTGTTTGGCAGAATACGAAATTAGAGCAAAATCGGTTGAATTGTTTCTGAGAAATTGAATTTCAAAAATGTCAGATATTTAAAATTTGATTTCCCAAGAACTATTTGACTGATTCTGCTCAAATTTTATATTGTGCCATTTAAAATTATATTATTTGAAATGATACATAATTTTTCAAGTCTTACAACTCAACACTGTTTAAAAAATAATAATAATAAATATTTACTGTAGTTAATTTTTGCATGGGATTATCTTTCAAAATCTGAAATCCGAATCCATCAGAAATCAGAAACCACAGAAAAAAAGGTATGTTTTATTCAGAGGAAGTACGTCTTGGGGCCTGATTTCGTAACTTAATATATCGTTTGCACTTATTAATCAGCAAATTTGAGGTCACCATCTCAAGCCATTAAGATGTCATCAGAGTCCTAAAATGTGAAGATCCGATCATTAAATCAAAAGTTATTCAGGGTAGTCCTTTTTTCCGCACTGTACATCTTGTTTGTGTAGCTATGTTGAACTCTACTTTGAATCGAGCTACTGTTCATGTAGACGGGCAGTGCCATTAATTGGATATCAAGAATTCAATATTGAATTCAAAAATAATCAACACCGAATGGGTGTTTTGAGAAGCGAAAATAATCCATGTATGAATGCCGGTGAGTTTAGCGTGCTTTTGTCACTATTTTCAACAAGAATTCTAAAAATGTATATTAAAAGCAGTCTTTCCGGAACACCCGATATAAAACTCAAATATATTTCTTAAAATCCCTTACTTGGTTCTATATTTTCCCAGTTAATCCTGACATATTCGTCTCTATCTGATCTGTTATGCTCATGTTCAAAACCAACTGCATGCATGAGTTCATGAACGATTATAATAAAGTTTTGGCATCCCTTTCCGAGGGAAAGTAAATTCTCTCCTCCAATTCTTCCCCAGTGAGAATAACATCTACGAGAGAAAAAAAATAATATTAATAATTTTCACTTTATCGCAACACTCCCAAGCTTAAGATTTATACTCACCCTGTATGACGGAAAATATTGACGTAATCTCGCTCATGAGTTCTTTTAACAAAGCGAATACAGCTATTATCTTCAATATGTTTCATAGCCTTCTCTATGTCCGCCCTCATGAATTCTGAAATTATATATATATATATATATATATATATATATATATATATATAAACCAATTGGCGAAATCTATTAATCTATAACAACTTCTTAAAGATTCTTCGATTAATTTTGATAATCCTTAGGGCATTTTCCACATTGCTCGTCAGTGCGAGTTTAGCTACATCGAATTAACTAGACGTGTTTTATAATTTGCATTAAAGGAGTTAGATGGATATATTCATTATCAAGAATGCAAGAAATTACCAATTGCTGCACATTGTTGGAATTTCAAACATAAATTCAATTTCGACAGTGACAAAATTATTTCCACCCCAGTCCCATGCCCTCCAATCTTGCTTTATTCATAGAATTGCTGATTTCCTTGTTAACGACATTAATTCTTCACCATGACCTCTCCATTTCGCATGGAAATGCATTTTATCTTGATTTGTTCCTTTCGGTGACCAATATGGTTTTTCTTCTTCTGTTTTTCATATATTTTTTTCTCCCTCGGCAACTGTGATTTTTCTACTTCTGTTTCTCACCTTTATTTTGTCTTATTATTACGTTGGTAACCTTACCTTTTACATATCAAATCACTTTTGCTCCTTCTCATTCATGTCCGACATGTCTTGAAAATGAGCGCATGTTTCTGAGCGTTTGAAATATGTCTACAGTTATTTCCAATTTTTATATTTTTGAAGTGAATAAAGTTTTCAATCAAGTAATAGCCATTTTAACTGTTCGTCGCGGTGTTTTTCTTAGCTTCTTAATTCTTTGCCAGGAGGATAGGATTTCTAAGTTTCTTTATTAATTGTTGTTGCCAAATGCACTCGAAACCTTCTTCTACACCAAAAATATTGACGGGTTGTCTCTCAGTCTTATCAAAATAAATTAATTTCTTATAGTTTAATAAAATATTTTTTGAGAAAGAATTTTTTCAAAAATGTCACTTTACCTTCTGCCGCAAATAAGTTCGTCAAGAGACAATAACTTTCATGGATGTAAAGGAATGATAAACGTTTTTTTTTTTCACATTTTAAAAAGGTAAATATTAGGCTTTACTAAAAACATAAGTTACCTAATTCAGGAGAAATGATGTAAGGAACAGCACCACCAGGCCACAACTGAGAGTCACGTGGTACAGCATTTCGGTCCTATCAGAAAATTTATATGATTTTGATAAAGAATTCAATTTAGAAACGGGAAATGTTTCTCCTAATATGGCATCATTTGATATTATTCTAATTATCTGATAACATTTTATACACATATCACCTAATGCAGAAATAAAACAAGACCTAAATAAAATAAAAATTTACAGAAGTGACCCTTTCCTGTACAGTTTTTCAATCTAGCACATAATGTTTAAGTATTGGGCTAAGTTATGTCATCTTATTAACTAGGTGGATTTAGTTCGTAATTTTGTCAACTTAAGGTATTAAAAAATGGATCTAAAAAAATTGAATATGCTACGTTTCTGCAGTACTTCGTTCATATTTTGAGTCACATTATAAAACCTAATGTGACTCAAAATATGAATGAAGTACTGCAGAAACGTAGCATATTCAATTTTTTTAGATCCAGAAGTTCAGTCACTTCATTTGTTTCTGAGTATCAAAGCATGATTTGTTGAATTCTTGCTCTTCAGACCGATTAAAAATTGCAGTTCAACTAATTGTTGCTGAATGTATTTAAGTTTTTTAATAAGTTTTAACTGAAGTCTCCATAGAAAGGAATTCCTAATTTTTTTCAATCAAACTATGAAAAATTAGTCTGTGATTCTCTCTCGATAGATGATTTTTTTATTTTATTTTATAACCGTCGTTGAACAGCCGACCCAATTTCATGGGTTTACGACTACTTACGTTCAACTCCGTAGCCTTGTAATTTTGAGCCAATCCAGAAGACAAGGAAACTCGTGGAGAAACACCCCCAGAGGTATTGATTTGTTGTGGGAACATGGAGGACTTTGAGACTCGACAGATTTAACGTGCATCAGTCACCATTTACTACACGGGGAGTCTTCGGCCGGCGAGGATCGAACCCACGACCTCTTGGATATGGTCCCAGCGCCCTACCGACCAGGCTATCCCGGCCCCCTCGATAGATGATTGTAATTTATAAATTATTAGGTAAACATTTTGTTGTTGTTTCTAACACCAATTTATTTTATTTTATTTTATAACCGTCGTTGAACAGCCGACCCAATTTCATGGGTTTACGACTACTAACGTTCAACTCCGTAGCCTTGTAATTTTGAGCCAATCCAGAAGACAAGTAAACTCCTGAATCACTACCCCCAGAGGTATTAATTTGTTACGGGAACATGGAGAACTTTGTGACTCGAAAGATCTAGCGCGTATCTGTCACCATTTACTACACGGTGGCTGGGATCGAACCCACGAACTCTTGGACATGGTCAAAGTGCCCTACCAAACAGGCTATACCGGCCTTTCTAATGCCACTTGTCGATACCAGCAAGCCTGCTTGATGAAACCAAGTGAATTTAAGGCAGATTGTGCGATTCTTGTTTCTTTAGTGGTGCCATCCATGGACAAGAATACGACTTCAGCCACACACACACACACGTCATTGCCCGTTTATACAGCGGCCACATTCATTCATACGCAGACCGTAATTTTGACCTGAACCAGAGAACGATCAATCTCCAATTCAGTATCCCCAGAGGTATGATTTGTTGTGGGAACATGAAGGACTTTGTGAATTGACATATTTAACGTGCACCAGTCACTATTTGCTACACGGGGAGTCTTCGGCTGGTGGGGATCGAACTCACGACCCCTTTGACATGGGCTCAATGCCCTTTCAAGCAGGCTATACCGGTCTGATAAATATTCTTAAAATATATATGAATATGAGGTCTTTTTCAAGAACATGAAGATATGTAAATTTGATTTAATATTATGTGCATAAATTAATTTTCCTATAAATTATTTCTGAAATCACTTACCTCATTTGGATCAACACCTAATATGTCTCCTTCAAATAAACCTTCATTGATAAGAGGATTGTAAGGTACTGAAAAATAGAACACAAATTAAATGCAGTGATTACGGAAATCCCTGTATGTGTCAACACTAATTTCTGATACAGAATCAAGGTCTATAATTGTTCTAAAAATACAAATCAATCGCAGTGATTACAAAACTCCCTACATATCTCAACATTAATTTTTGTTTGGAAATCAAAATTTACAATAGTTCTAAAAATTAATATTAGTGATTGTGATTATATATCTCCTTGCATATCTCAAAACTAATTTCCGTTGGAGAATCAAAATTTACAATAATTCTAAAAATTAATGTTAGTGGTTGTGATTATGGAACTCCCTGTACATCTCAATATTAATTTCCGTTGGAAAATCAAAATTGACTATAGTTCTAAAATGTATGTAAACTTTAGTGATTGAAGAATTCCCTGCATCTCTCAATATTATTTCATTAAGTTAATCAAAATTTATAATGATTCTAAAAATCTATATAAAGAGTAGTGATTACAGAACTCTATATCTCAACACTAATTTCTGTTAGAGAATCAAAATTTTAAAAAAAAACTTTATTGATTGCATTTTACGCTGCAAACAGATATTAAAGATTGTCTCCATAATAAAGAAAGAATGGTAGAAAACTCGACTGAAGGAAATTCCTTTTTTTCCAAAATTGATATTTAACATTCTTACCAAGTGTGTCAAAAATTACCATTGAAAGAAAAGCAAAACTAGATTCAAATATACAGATTTCTGCATTCTGTTTATGAAGCGAGTTTTTAAAGACAAAATCGCAATTCGATATCGGTAACGATATTGTTACCATCGACAATTTCGACAACGGATGTTATTACAAAAGACTATTTATAAAAAATACGCCATTTTAGCTATAACGTGGCGGAACCTATTACCAATACCTATAACCAGACCAATTAAAAAGACTACCGCGTAAATATTTTCATTGAAACGGTTGGATATACAACAGAAAACATTTGTCTCGTGTTTTCTAAGTCATCAGTGACTACTGTTGACAAATTTCGTGAATTATTTTGAAACTTAGTGGAACAATTCGTTGATTTAAATAGCAGAAAGCAGCAACCCGTATAGATCTATCAAATTTCGTTTTTCTTCCATTGATTTTTCAAATGAATGAAGATTTAAGGCACCTTGTAGTATCTTTTTTAAATACTAATTTCGATCCATGCAAAGATGTATTTTAATTAGCTTCTTTGATTTATTTTTAGCGATATCTACTCTGCTGTAAGCAGCGCAAGTGCTACACGAAAGATTTTGGGATAATTGGCTTGATATCTATTTTCTTTTTACTGCTAATGCTATAAACGTTAAAATAAAACTTTAAAAAACTGATAAACAAAATTCATTCTTGAAAGAAAATTACAATACCCATAATTAAATGCCATAGATATATATGAAAATCTCAATTTTGATTTTTTGTTGTTGTTATTTATGTCTACTTTTCCATTGTACGGCAGTGAGCAATGGTGACTCATGGGATAGAGCACTTGCCTCACGATGAGGTGAGCCCAAGTTCAAACTTCAGCGGTGGTTGGCCAATGCGAATTCCGCACTGGGTTCGCATCGACCACAGTGCAGATGCAAAATATCCTCAGTGGTAGATGGATCATGGTCCCCTTGCCTTCAGGCTAACCGTAAGGGCTTCGTGATTTTCCTTTCAATGTAACGCAAAGCTGGTTAGTTAAATCAAAAGGTCCTCCACGAAAGCAAATTTCCCCCAACACTTGATTCGTGAGTTCCCTTGTGTTCTAGATTGAGTTCAAAATTACAAGGCTACGGAGTTGAACATAGGTAGTCGTAATCCTAAAACTCTGTTCAACGACGGTTGTAAAATAAAATGTGACGTACAGTTTTATAAAATTTGAACTGAAGTTTAAAAGTTTCCACGGTATAAATTTTTTTCTATCTCATTAGTTTAAGTTAACGTAATAAAAACTGTCCGACTTGTATAAAGCACTCCACGAAGTCAAATTTTCCCACATAATTGATCCAGAAGTTCCCTTGTCTTCTAGATCGCGCTCAAAACAACTAGGTTACGGAGTTTAACATTAATAGTTGTAAACTCAAACTTGGGTCTGCTGTTCAACGTTGTTTATAAAACAAAATGAAGTAGCAGGGCAGTACTGTTATCACAATAAATACTCTTAAAAACATATAAAGGTGTTGAATTCCTTACCTTCGAATCCATAAGTTATTTGAAAAACGCAAAATATTACGAGAGCGTACATAGTGAAGTACCTGGGGCATTTATGATAGTAAGTTCCCATGTGCATATTTATTTATCTTAACATTTTCCTTCTGTTGCAAAAATATTTTTAATCCTATCTCGCTTTACATTGACTGTTATCTATTTGATGAGAAAACTTAAACATGTTTAGATTAATATAGAACTCTGTCATTGTACCTGTGGCATTTATGATAGTAAGTTCCCATGTGCATATTTATTTATCTTAACATTTTCCTTCTGTTGCAAAAATATTTTTAATCCTATCTCGCTTTACATTGACTGTTATCTATTTGAGGAGAAAACTTAAACATGCTTAGATTAATATAGAACTGTCATTTTAGCTGAATTTTAAAGAAATATGCATACCAAAGCTTAAGATTTTAAAAAATATAATATCTATATAAACACTAATAACAGTTCTTTTAAGAATTTTTTAAGTAAAGTGATTTTTAGAACCTCCAAGCGTTATTCATTTGAAGAAGTTTGTAAAAAATTTCGTTCTCTATAAAATAACTTTTGAAGTTACCAAAGTGGCAGAATTCATTTTTGGAAGACAACTTCCGAATTGAAAGCAGCGAACTAATTTGAACATGCAAATTAAGTTGAATTAATAACATAGCTGACATATTAAAATCTAACGAGACAGCTAACATATTAAAATCTAACGAGACAGCTAACATATTAAAATCTAACAATAATTGCTTCTTTCAGAAAAATTTATATTTGATATAAAATCAAATGCAAATTTTCATAAGGGAAACAATAAATGTAATTGCGTTATCTTAAAATCAAGAAGACAAACAAAAAATAATGTAAAAAGCAATTATTGTTCAGAAAACTCATTTGAAATACAACATCAATAATAATAAATTTCAAAAGAAAAAAAAATATTTTAAATTTTGTTTTGGATTTTGATCACTTATATTTGAAGGAAACATCCTTACAAAACGTGTTTTGTTTCTTCTTGCAAGTAAGTACACGACCATGATTCAAATACTTTTCAAAAAGCTTTTTCTTGAAAAGTTTTTTTTAAAATCTAAATCGAAGGCTTGGGAGGGACCAACTTTTTACAGCAGCATTGAAAAGTTGCGCGTTTGGTAGAACAGTAACTGAACTTATCATTCACTATGAAAATAGTTTAAGATAGTACAAAATAGTAAATTTTTTACATTTTGTTTAGTTTTCTAGTTAAAATTTGTAGATTTATAGAAAAATAAAGAAGGGTGGATAATGTAAGAATATTTTAAATTTTACTGACGCAAAAAACAGTTTCATTTTTTGCTTTTCAGTTTGTATATGAAATATTTACTCCGACCTGCCCCAATTTTGGGCATACGGGTAAATGTTTATTAAAATCAAGAAAAACAGAAAAGTACATAAAATACAAAAAGTAACATTACAGAGTAACATTATGTAAACATTACAGAGTCTGATGGCAACAGCAGTAAAATAATTAAAATGCTCCGAGAGTCCCGCCTTATAGTGCCGAAGCCGACGGGGCTTCCCTTATAGTGAGCCAGAGACACAAATGAAAAATTTTACAACACATCGCAGTGATGTATTTAAGAACAGTAAAACATGAAGTGAACCATTAAAAAAAACGTGTACCTGAAGTGAACATAAGAAAACATTAAAAGGTCACAGGTAAACGGAGGTCCTAAGTTAATATAGGTCAAAGAACCAATACAGTCGATGACAAATTGACAACAGGTAAGACAGAAGAACAAGGCGTAAGGAGCCAAGAAAATCTCAAATGTAAAACAAAAGGAGGTGAAGATGTAAAGTGGTAAAACAAACAATTATCAAATACAATTAAAAGGCGACGCTAAAATTTGCAAAGCAAGGAAAGGCAATGTAAATAAGCCAATTAAAAAGCACAATGTAGTGAATAAATAGATTAAAACAGAATTAAAAAGCGAATGAGATAGATAAAACAACAAAACGTTGTCAAAATAACGGGAAGCGAACAGGCGGGCAGCCCAACAACCGGGACTGAGTTTAGTTCGTGTAGAGCGGATCCAAAATGTCATCAGGGGCGAGTGCGTCCTCCAGGGTGCGTTTAATGATGTTTTTAATAATTTGCCTCTGTTTATTAGTCCTGCACCAAGATCTTATGTCGCCTCTTCTGTCAAAACTATTTCCCCTAATGGTTGCAAATTTTTGACAGTCAAGCATCAGATGTTTAATAGTCTGATAGTGACCGCAATATTTGCACGCGGAGGATTTTTGAAACATCCTAGCTTGGTGATCGCCAAATACACCATGGGAAGTTAAGAACTGATTAAAGTAAAAATCGCTGGATAAAAAACATTCGTTAACTGTAGGTATCAAATAGTGTGTGTGTCTCCCGTTTGCAGAGCTGCTCCACCTGTCCTGCCATAAAATCCTACTGACCTGCCTCTGTCTATGTTTGACCTGGGGTTTTGTTATGGTGTAGTGAAAGTCCACCCCGTCCAATAAGGTGCCCTTTTTGGCTAAAATATCTGCTTCCTCGTTGCCAGGCTCCCCCGAGTGGGCTTTAATCCAATTGAATAAGCATTGTTTGTTTTGAACAATTGCCTTAATTTCTTCTACAAGAGGGTCTGTTGGGGTTGGGTTTTCAAGGGCCTGCAACGAGGACTTTGAGTCAGAAAAGATGGTGTATTGTTCAATATTGTTATTGTTTGCCCAAAGGGTAGCCAATTTGATTGCCGTAAGTTCGGCGGAGTAGATACTACACTCATTATTTAAACGTGCGGTCTGTTCGTAAATAGTATGGTTATCCAGTTTCACCAAGAAACCACAACCCACCCGATCTTCATTAGCGCCTGTGCTTTCATTGGTCACCTGTTTCTTACTGCCATCAGTGTAGAACTCGTAGCCAACGCCCCTCGGTGAGCCGAAACCCCTACTAACGATCTTTAACTTCGTAGGGTCATACACAGGGACTGAGTAAGGGATATAATTTTTAAGTTCATCTGTTTGATAATCGCTGTCGTTAAATTCCTCTGGTGACCAGGTATGTCGTTTAATCGAAATAGTTGCTCTAATTTTTAAGTCAATAGGTATGACTCCTGCAAGTATTTGTAGTGCCTCCGTGCTAGTTGTAGAGTAGCATTTAGTGATGTTGAGCAATGGAATTCTTTGGATAGTTAGGAGCTTCTGGTTTATTTTAACTTTATTCTTATACCACACGGAGGCACCATAAATGATTTTCTTTTCAATAGCCTGCAGGTATATCAATTTCAAGATATTCGGACTAAGTCCCCATGTGGCTCTACTGAACTGTTTTAGTCTGTCATAGAACGTGATGATATCTGTTCTTAGATACTCCAGGTGTGGGATCCAGCTCAGCCGAGGATCGAGCACCACACCAAGGTATTTCAGTGTCCTGTCGCATCTTACATAGGCCGTCCTGGTCCCCTCCATTTTTAAGCGAGGTGTTCTCTTAATACATTTCGCGTCTTTGGGGAAGGTTATAAGTTTTGTCTTGTCGGGTGAGAATTTTAATTTGTGACTACCGGCCCAATTTACCATATTTTGAATAATTTCGGTCCCCAGCTTATCGAGACGATAAAGAATGGTGTGCTTCATTAAAAGGAAGACGTCATCAGCAAAGGCCAGTAGTTTGCAATCGTTAAAATCAAAACTAGTTAAAAGAGAATCAATTAAAATTAACCATAAAATTGGTCCCAGCTATGATCCCTGTGGAACACCAATATTAGTTGGTAAAATAACAAATTGATCATTAAAATAATAACAGACATGTCTGTTGTTAAGGAAATCGTAAACAAGTGCCAACACCGAATCACTGAGCCCAAGGTTATTGAGGCAGTGCTTCAGGACTTGCCAGTTATCTGTATTAAAAGCAGTCTCGAAGTCCAAGGCTACCCCCACGTTATGTTTCCTCTCACTTTTAACCTGACCTACAAAATCAACCACTGTAACTAAGGCCTCTTTTGTCCCTCTGCCTCTTCTGAAGCCATATTGGTTGGGGTTTAGCTTATTGTTGGATTCCAGAAAATATACTAGACGTTCTGTTAATAGTTTGTCTAAAATTTTTCCCCTGGTAGAGAGCAGGGAGATAGGTCGATAGCTCTGTGGTAGTCGGGGGTCCCTTCCCTGTTTTGGGATAAGGCATACCAGGGCGTTTTTCCAACATGTGGGGAAAATTCTTAGTTGAAAGCATTTGTTGAAGATTGCCCTAAACCAAGATTTATTGCAGTAGTATAATTCTCTGTACACCTCAGCTGGAATGCCGTCAGGACCAGGAGATTTGTTAGGTTTAAGACATCTGATGACATGTTCAATTTCGGGTTCAGTGAATTCGTCCTCCTCAGTACCACTGAGTCTGATATCAACCTCTGGATTATGTATCATTGGAAAATGATGGTTCAGAATGTTAATAATTGAGGTCTTGAAGTCGGAAGTTTCGTTCCCATCACTAGTGACGGTAAGGATATTTTCTTGTGATCTGATGTTCAAGTTTTTTGCAATCTTATATGGCTTCCCAAAAGCCGACTCTGTTGTGAAACTGTCGACATATTTCTTGACCCCTATTCTTTTTTGAAGTCTAATCAGCTTTCTGTATTTTGCTAAATTTGATTTATAATCAATTAGAAATTTTTGTCTTCCAGCAGGCTCCGTGCATGTTTGGAACCTCCGCCTCATGGCTCTTTTTCTAGCTATCGCTAGTTCGTCAGTCCACCAGTAGTTATTTATTTTCCCTTTCTGACCGTTAGATTTGCGGTTTGCCTTTCCACAAATAGCTGCGATATCACTCGTGACGTCAGTGATGAAAGCTTCCAGTTCCGTTTTATCGTTTATTGTATTAGGGCTCTGGTAGGTTTGTTAGGCCGATTTTGAGAGTAATCCAATTTAATTTACTATAATGATAACGTGGCACCCTGTTTTGGTTATAAGAGGTTTACGGGTTTGTATCGAGTGTGTAGGTGCAAGTGAGGAGCTCATGATCGGAGGCAGTAATGATGTCTGCAACACTATAGTGGCTAAAGTGTGTATCATTAGTGATCATGAGATCAATCCAGCTTTGACCCTGAGGTGTACAGTAGGTAGGGGGAGAATTTGGGTCATTCAAAATAATAAGATCAAATTGATTGATAAATTGTAGCACTGGTCCAGACCGGTGCACGGTGCTCCCTCCCCATATAGGTGATTTAGCGTTAAAGTCGCCGGTGATAAGCACTGAGCGGTCAGTAAAACGGGCAGCCAAGGACTGGAGTTTTGAGATATGGAGCTTAATATTATCAGTAGGCGGGATATAAATAGAAACGAAGAGTAATTTTTTACAGCCATAGGTGAAGCCGATGGCTTGAATACACTGCTCGCTGTAGACACTAAAGTCCTCTAAGTCAGTGCGGTTTATAAGTATGGCCGCTTTTGGCTTATGGGCAAATGCATAAATCTTAATATTACTAGACAAGTCGGTGATAATCGATTTCTGGTTGAAGTATGGTTCGTTAATGCCTACGATATCAAGGTTTAGTTCCGAGATGTCTCGGCTAAGTTGGATATTTACAGCCCTGGATCGATGGAGATTGAGGTGACCGAAAAGTAAGGGGGATTGATGACGATTATCCATAATTCGTTCTTTTGGATTGCTGGTCCCTAGCTCGTACTATTTGTGGAAAATTTTTATCGAATGGGCTGTGGTTAACAACATGTGTGGTCCTGTATTTAACGTTGGCTGTTGCACAATTCAGGCAGTGCTCACAGTTTGTGCAGTCTTTTTCTTGGTGTCCGCGCTGCGAACATTTCCTGCAAACCTTTTCCATAGTGCAGTCCCTGGCTAAATGTCCGTGTTCGGAACACTTGAAACACTGCCTGATTCTTAGATGTTCCTGGAAGAAATGCCGTCGCCACCTGATGTTAATTTTGTCCATGTCTATTATTTTGTTAAATGGTCCTGGTTTGACTTCGACGACCCAATTGTTTCTGTTTTTCCCGCCTAGTAGGGGGAATTTGATTTCAACATCTTCACTCTCTGTGGTGTCGTTCTGGTTAACCAGTGCCTCCAGCTAGTCCTCTCTTGTTATATCGTCGTCGACACCAAAGACTATGATGGACGGATTGACAAGTTTTGGTTTTGAGATTTTGTAGTTTTCTTTTATGTCATTGTTGTTAAATTCTTGTTCAAATATCTGTAATTCCTTTTCACTATTAGTTTGGATTAGAACTCCACCTTCCCTTGTTTTGACCAATCTCTTAACACCTATTTTCAGTTTATTCGGATTCAAGGCCCTGATGATGTTACTTTTGGTTTTGTCTGAAGTCACACTACCAGTCGTGGGTTTAATGAGGATAATGTGGTCCTTGGCTCTTGGTGTTTTGTTATTCCTGTACTCGTTGTTCTTGTTGTGCTTCAGTGCGTCTGCATAAGTGCGATCGCCGGTGCATGCCACGTCCATAATTGCGCTTTCAGTGGTGTCTAGTTGGTCTGAGGCACTGTCAAGTTGATGTTCCATGACGGTGAGGTTGGCATCCTGTTTGCTGATGACAACAAGCAGGTCATTTACTGTCTTTAGAATTTCCGTTTTATCCGCCATCGAGATCTTACAGGTTGATTTATGTAGGACATTATAAATTTTTAATTGGAGTTGGGCACTTTCAGTCATAAAATGGGTCTTGATCGGTCCACCCACCCCCCTCCCCATCGCTACCGGACTCCTCACTAATCTCAATCTCCTCAACATCTGTGTTGATTGGAGAGGGCGAAGGCATCGCCTCAGTGGATTCGGCGTTGGCAGTTAAGAGAATAAAATCACAAAAAAGGTAAAGTTAAACACTAATAAATAGGTTAAAAGCAATACGTTAAGGTCGAAACTCAGGCAAAAGCGCTAGAGCCAGGACCAAAATTAAACACTAATAGGTAAGATAGAAAAGCACAATAAAAGTGACAGTGATAAAACCTGAATAACAGTGTAAAAACAGAAATTTGGAAAGTTAATAAAATCCTATAAAATAAACACAGACATGCAATTGTAAAATGCAAGTACAAAATGTAAATTACAAGGATGCAATATTAGGACGACCTCTATGAATTTCATAAAAGTTAGCAAAGGCAGTTGGGATGACCCCTAATAGTTAATTAAGGATTACAAAATGCCCTATCCCCCCCCAAAACATGTAAAAACAGTCAGCGGTCAGATCTCCGCAAAACACTAAAAAGCATAAAAATCAAAATACCAATACAAAATCCAGGTGTGAACAGTCAAAATAAGTCTATGAGCACTGAAGATCACTTACTAGTTGGTCGTAATCATGCACAGCATCGTTAGTGTTGAGAAACGTTAACACCAAAAAACGAAATGGCGCGCCGCCATCTTGGATCGAAAATGAAAAAACTACAGTATTTGAAGGAAATCAGATGAAACACTCACATAAATCACGTCGAAATCCAATTGAAGTTCACTTACGCAAGTGAAAAGACGATCGAAGTCAATATATCCAGACTACTTGTTGATAAGCGCTGCAACAAGCGATTATGGCACAAAACGTAAACACTCCGCCATCTTGCTACGGAATAGTAAATCTTTAATAAAACGCTAATTATTGAACAGATCACCACCAAAATCACAACACGGCACTATTCCATGTCGACAAAACAGAAAATCACAAAATAATTAATGAGAAATTGAAAATACAAAATTATTGGACTTAGAAAAATCTAATGGCAAAAAACGCAACCTCAACCTTCGCGTCTCTCTATAATCTCTTTCAGTTTGTATATAGAAATGTTTTTTGAAAGTTATTCTTTAACCATTTTAAAGAAAAGCTTTGCTTTTGAAATTTAACATGTTTCTCTTTTATTGAACAAGACTTTTAATAAAGTTCAATGCACATTAAGAGAAAAAAATATGAGAAGATAAAAAGTTAAAAGAATAATAAACACGAATGGCATCTGAATACACTTTATTCATAAGAAGTTAAACTGTCAGCACTTCATACACATTGATTGTAATTGTCATTGAGGCATGCAGACATAAGTTTTTCACTATTAACTCTTGTGTTGCCATGGAGATACATGCGTGGTATTGTTGCGACTTTATGTGAATCTATAAGGTCCCCGTTAACTTCTCAACATGGAAACAAATCTGAGAGAAATACACCACAGTAAATAAAATAGAAATAAGTTAATGCTCCATAAGAGACCAGGAACCATTTAATGCATTTGATCGGTCCCCAGCTCCCCCTTCTTGACTTTCAGTAACACTTTCTAGAGGAGAGCAGGCCTCTGCACTGATAAATTTAGTAGTCCGACGTAATGAACATAAACTGCGCAGTAGGGGTTTATAAGAAAGATGTCACAATATTCAGGCTATCAAACCACGCAGTAGGGAAAAAATCGTAAAACGTCACAACGTTAGGACTACTAAATGATTGGATTCTCATGTATGGTAACTTGAGCAGAGGCCTTCTCTATTCAAGGAGATGTTGGAGACCACTGACTTATAGCATATGATCACCTTTTGTTGAAGTTTTTTTTTCTTAAAAAAAAGATGTTAATAAAAGAGTAAAACGAAAATTTGAATCTTAAAAACCTTTTGCGATTTTCTACTAGACCATTCGAAGTTTAATTTTATAACTGCAGATAGAAGGGAAAATCAGTGTTGACAATCTACGATAACTCACAGACAAAGTTTGACCAATAAATAAATAAAAATTATTCACAATGTCCACTCTAGCCCCATATTCACACAAGATCCCCTCATGGTGAGCTATATGGTTAGAAACATGGCATCAATTTGCGAACAACAGTATTTAGTTATATAAAAGCTTATGATTTTATAAATAGATTTAGTGATTTCAGAATATAAATTAGAATGTTTGACATAATAGCATAATAAATGGCACAATTGTGAAGTTTTTATTTCTCCAAAGCAATTTTCAGAAGAAGAAAAAATTATTTTAGGTTTTACGCTTTGTACAGTTTTATTTCACGATCTCTTTCAGCTAATAACTTTAAAATATTTTTCCTAAAATTTTAATAGTATTAATAATAGTTTTAATAATATTTTTTCTTAATTGCACTCGAAAGTGCTGATAAATGTACATTTTATGAAGAAATATCTTGTGAAATCTCCAACATCTTCAACAAAAAAAGTTTTTTTACCGCAGATGGCACCGAATTATGCAAAAGATCCGCTAATCTTAATCCAGACGCAATGCATCATGCAATGATATGAAGTATGAAATCAGAATTCCTGACGAAACAAAAAAAGACTAAACATCAGAAAATTAAAAAAAAATGTCAAGAAAAGTTAAATTTACTAGATGTAAGATACCAACAACAATGAATTTTTCCTTCATAAGTGACAGTAAATTATCTTGGAATCGCTGAACCCAAAGTTATATCATAAAGATTGCAGTTCTCAACACAAGAATATTATTTTTCTCGAAGAAGCTTTAAGAACTTTACTCGATACAAAGTGAAAATTGTAAGTAGCATGTCTTAATAATTATTCTAATAGTGTTTCTTTTTTTTGTAATCTGTAGTATTACATTTTATTTTCGTGGAGATTTTTAAAAGGAGTAACAGAATTAAATTCTTTGTACACGGGCATTTGTAAAATGAAATTTTATAACTGATTTAATTTTTTTTTAAATATATGCCTAATAGGATAGCATATGTTGGGGAGAGGAGGTAGCGTGGAAGTGGAACTAAAGAGGACAACTCTTTAAAAAAACATGCATAATAGGATAACATATATTGGGGAGAGGAGGATGTGTGGATGTGGAACTAAAGTGGACAACTCTTTAAAAAAACATGCATAATAGGATAACATATATTGGGGAGAGGAGGATGTGTGGATGTGGAACTAAAGTGGATAACTCTTGAAAAAACATGCATAATAGTACTTCATATATTGGGGAGAGAAGGATGTGGAACTAAAGTGGACAACTTTTAAAAAAGAAATATGCATAATAGGATAACCTATATTGGAGAGCGAAAGATCACGTCTATGTGAAACGACAACTTAAAATTAAAACATGCTTAATAGAATAACATATGTTGGGGAGAAGAGAATAGTGTGGATGTGAAAATAAGTAGACAGCTCTTTAAAATGGATATCTCTTTAAAAAATGTATAATAAGATTACATATATTGCGAAGAGGGGGATTGTGTGGATGTGGTACTAAAGTCTAAGAATTACATTATATATAAGTCAAATTTTTTAATAAATTTTTCATATTCTCAAAATTATTTTAAACTTTCATGAGCCTAAGAATGACAAAACACTTGATTATCAATTACGAAGTTTAAAAACATAGTTTTCATAGCGAAAAAGTAAAATATGAAATGTTTTTTATTTGCCACTGTATTCATTGTTATTGTTTTAAATATTGTAGGATATAGTGTTATCGTTAATTTGCTCATTACTTATTCATTTTTAATTAGCATTTCTTAACTAACCATTAATTGACTTAAGCATGCATATGAATCTATGGGGCTAATGTGCAAGGCTAGTGTGTAAGATTGATTGTAAGGACAGTTGGCTATCGATTATTCGATTATTGAGATATTTAAATTTTGTTCTCCAAAGTTTAATTCTCTAAAGTAGCTAATTTATTTATGATTTTTTATTTAATTCTTTTAAATTTCTATATTAATGTTATGATTCATACACTGAAGAGCCAAAAAAAACTGGTATACCTGCCTAATATCGTGTAGGGCCCCCGAGAGCACGCAGAAGTGCCGCAGCACGACGTGGCATGGATTCGATCAATGTGTGAAGTAGTGCTGGAAATAATTGACACCAGAATCCTGCAGGGCTGTCCATAAACCAGTGGGAGTAAAAGGTGGTGGGGATATCTTCTGAACATCACGTTGCAAGGCAACCCAAATATGTTCAATAATGTTCATGTCTGGGAGTGGATCCAAGAGCACTCTTCTGAATTTAGACACTTCCGTTGGCCACCAAAATCCCCAGACGATACACGATATTATGCAGGTATACCAGTTTTTTTGGCTCTTCAGTGTATCTGGAAACACCTTGTCTATTTATCTAATTCTTTTTTAATGTTTTTATTCATTTTTTTTGTTGTTGTTATTTTTAGCATCAAGTCAAGGTTAGAAAATAAAGATCTCGAGGGAGAAATTTTCTTCGATAATTTTGGATAAATGGAAAATATTAAAAAAAAAATTCAAAAAAGCATTTAAATTTCGAAAAAAAAAATTTTAATTTTAAAAAAACCTCGTGTTTTGTTCAGAAACAAAAATCTCAACTCAAGTTGCATTTTAGAGGAGCAGTAGAGCGACCCGCATGATATTTTTACTTACAAGTTCAACCGCTAATAATTTCCAAACTAATATCGAATGTTAATTTTTTTTATTCCATTGCAGTCATTGTACGTTTTTGTACATTGTACATTGTCCATTGTACATTGTCTCCACACTTAGTATCTGAGTCATATAGTTCTTGCGCATCAAAAAAAGGGAAAATGTTAAAACACTTTCAGAAAAAAATCCCAAACAGACCCATTGAATTATTTACTAGTCAATATTAAGAAATAAAATTAAGAAACAAATAATAAAAAAACATTGACATGATTAAAAATAATTTTGATCTTTTCAGACACTTTTTTTAAAAAATGAAGCGTGAAGGTTTAAAATTAAAATTGCTCTCAAAATTACGGATAAAAATATCGCCAATAGAAAATTATCATTTTCTAAGTTTCATACACAATTTAATGACGGCCAATTATTCTTCTGTGATAACTATGAAATTGAGAGAAAATAAAATCAAAAGCGAATGCAATAAAAGACATTGTTCATTAACTGAAATAATCTTCAGTTTGTTTGTTTGTGCAAACAATGTATAAGAATTTAATACAGGCTTTATTATTATTTTTTAGCGTGAAGACAACTTATCTGATTCCTTAAACACTTTCCAGAATGAAATTATTATCAGCAAGGCATATCCGCATTATCAAAACTTTGAACTTGTATGCCTGTTTCATTGTTTTGGTAAGACAATAATTTATATCTAATCATTTATTACATTTGACAAAAATATAAGCCATATATAATTCTAGTAAGGCTTTAAAAATATTGGTATTTAACGAATTACAGTACATTAAAAAACAGTTCTTTTTTATAAAAATACATTTATTTGACAATCCCACATAAACTAAACAAAATTATATTAAAATACCCGTAACGGGTTATTAATAACCTTGCAAAATAAATGGAAAAACCCGTAACCCATAACGGTATGAGCCTTAAATTCAAAACAAATACTATTCTCATCAGAAGTCAACAACTCTCTATTGTTCCATAAATTGTCTCGTGCTTTTATTTTTAATTTATCTCGTTATATGTTTTTTTTATTCATGCTTTTGATAGCCAGATATTTTTCTTATATATTTTTAGACTTTATAGTATGCTAGCTAAAACCCCAGCCTCTGCCAAAGAAACAAAGGTTTTTAAGATATTAACGCTGTTTTACAAAGATCTGCCTCCTAGGAAAATAAAAAAGCCATTGTTGAGGAGCTTACACTTGAAGCAATTTTAAATTATTTATATAATATTGCCGTAAAAAATTATCTGGGCTTTAGAACAGACAAATAAGTCAAATATTTTAAAAGTTATTAAACTTTTTTAAAAATCGCCAATTTGATGACATTTTTCCACCTAGATGAAAATTATCGAATTCACTGCGGTATTTCCAGTTTTTACAAATTTTTATGAGCCCTGGTAATGCAGAATTGGAGTAAGGTTTCAAATATTAAAAAATTAGACCACAAATGCTTTTCGTTTTCACTAAACTATGGCTTTTCTCCATATTGACGTTTTGCGCCATTTTCAAACTATGTGTAGACAGGGCTGACTTTAGATAAACTAAACTTGAACTAGCAGTCATGAGCAACAGTTACAAATTTACAGCAGTAATAAAAATGGTATATTATTTGCAAAACAAAAATCATTTCAGATTACGGCAGAGTTTTATTCAAGAGTTCAAAATTACATCTTAACTTTTTAGTGAAAAAAAAACAGCTTTAAAGCATGTTTTACGAACACTGATCATGCTTACATATGTTGAAAAATAAATTGCTTTCTAAGTATAATGCGAAAATATATAAATGTATTTACTCATTTGTATAAACTGTGAAAACATTTTTAAAAAATGTGATAATTTAATTTTGTAAGGTGATTTTCTGATTTGTTCAAAGTTGAAAATTGAATATGAATAGTTGAAAAAAACTTTTTAAACCAAATTATTTTTTCCCCAGAATATTATAAATTTAAATTAATCACGAAATATTATATATTGTATAATATTTCTCTTAGTTCTTGATTTTAAAAATATTTTTTAATGTGTCTTTTTTTTAAACTTTGCAGGGGTTATGTATTGCCATTACCGGTCCAACATTGATCGATCTGACACACATTGTAAATACCGACATAAAAACCATAGCTTTCATTTATGCTGCCAGATCAAGTGGATATATTGGGGGATCGTTTATAGGTACGTTATATGCGCAAGATGTGTTTTCTAATCACAGTCCTTGAAATACTTTTTTAAAAATTTTAATTATAATATAAAACCATTACGATTTACTTTCTAGAGATCTTAACTCATGATTTATGTATCAATTCGTTGGAAACGATTCAGAAAGATATAAAATGGTTGTCGATTTTAAATTTCAGTGCTATTTTGCAACTCATAATGCCTTTATTTTTGGAACTCAATAAGGAGATGTTCGAGAATATTGCAATCTAATTTCGCTTTACGTTTACCTCCAAATCATTTGTCAATTTCATGTTTTCAAAATTTGATGACAACAACTCTAAGTCATCAGCGTAGTCTAATTCTTCAAGATGAGTTTTGAAATTTCATCTTATTCCAGTTTTTCATCCTCTTAGAGTCTTCAAAACGGGAATAAGATGGACTATAAATTAACCTTAAATTCTTTTTTACATTTATTTCTTTTGTTTAATCTTTTTTCTTATCAATTTGCATTTTTAAGAAATTATTTGCACATAAATGTATAGCTAAAATAGTAAAAATCAAATATAAGTAAGGGCATATAGTAGTTATTCAGTTTAACCTGCTATTTTTTATTATGAAAGAAATATTAGTCATTTTTTAGAGTGGTAAAAATGAGGTTTGTTTGTGAAGAAACAAGGGATCAGGTAATCCAGTTGAAAACAAGTGTATAAAATTTTTAAAAACTTGTTAACAGCTTGTAAACAGCTGTTAAAATGACAACCATATAATTTTTATTATTTTAAAACAGAGTTATAGTAATAGTATACCAATATAAGAGTCTTTGTAAGCATTACTATGATTATGTTTTTTTCATTAAAAATGTCAAATACTATCAATCTATCTTCTTAACCAACAATTCTTTTAACGTTTTTTTTTTCTTCTTTTCGGTAGGTGGTATCATCTTTGACATGTTTTCTAGAAAGCAGTTTATTTTAACAATTGGGCAACTTATTACCTCCATAACTATGTTTGGAGTTCCATGGAGCAGAGAAATTAAAACTCTTACCATATGGATGGTAGTAAATGGCTTCACGTTAGGAGCATTAGACACAGGTAGTCTTAGTCTAATCCAGTTTAAGTCTTTAGTCTTTAACCTTTTTTTTACGGTGTATCAGTCTTTTTAATACTTTAAGAACTATATCAATTGTTGTACTATTGAAAATCTCTCTTGGGTTGCTATTAATGATTGAGGTGAATAGTGACAATTTTATTATTATTAAACAAGGATTGAAGGGAATGAGGTAATATTGTGAAAAGTCACACTTTTTCAAAGGTGACATTTGTATTACAAAGTGTTCCTTAGTACTGTTTACAGATAGGCTCGTTTCAACTTTTCGGAATTTCCACCAGATAAGAGTACTGTACAAATAAAGGATCGAGTACATTGGAAATAATTGTAAACTATTTTAAATAATAAGTATGTGACTATTTAAATGACGTAAATGCCTCTCTAAGATGGCTTGATCATGTATGCAGACATGAAAAGGAAAACACTGTGAAGAAAATAACATTCCAATTGCATGAGAGAAGTGGCTGGACAATGTAATAAAGTAATTGAAGAGCGTTAGTGCAATGTCAGTGTATGGAAACTTACTGATTCTTTGGTTATGAATAGGCTGCTGGGCTTAAGAAGGAAAATATGAAGAGAAGTACAATATATATAGAAATGCTTTTGTACTTAAGAGGACGCGATACCCAGATAAAAAACCGGAATTGGCAAAATCAGAGTTGTAATAGTCACCCTTTGGGGGCGTCGCTTTGAGGGAGGAGTGAATTGGTACAGTGACAGTGATATATGATAGAGGGTCAGTTAAACTATCCCATCCTTCCTTAGCAAAACTGAACAATATAAGCATTAGTTTCGAAAAGTGATTCTGGGTACGCGGTCTTTTATTTTTAAACCCATTCTTAGTTTCGTTGTGAAATATCCAGAATAGACATTCTAACTATTTATTTGTATGTAAATAGGTGTTTACAAGATAATGGGGATTACTTATATCTTACAATTAATTCGTTTCAAATTAAAACACCAAGAAGAATATAAATTTTTATTAATGTGTGTGGAATTAATGGAATTAATTAAAGTAACTTAGTTTTAATAATCGGAGCTAGAACTGCTAATTATATTGAGCTGTAAATATATGAAGAAATATAATTATAAAAATTCTGAAAAATACATAATTTATTAAAACGTAGGCAATTTATTAAGTCATAATACAGAATTGAAAAAATTATTAAAACTTATACTAATATAATAAAAAGTTATAAAAATAAAAAAATAAGAATTAATTATAAAATATGATAAAAGAAAAATCAAACGCTTTTTAAATTGCATCAAAGAAAATTTTTGTTTTGATGTATCTTTTTCAAACTTACATTCACCATCCGGGAAAATTTTATTTTCTGTAAATAAGTATAATAATTTCTCAATAAATTTTTTAATTTATTTATATTGCTTTGTAATTTTGCTGAATTACAAATTACATTGTTTTGTATTTGTCTGAGAATTTTTCTCCTTTCATTTTCAATAGTTTAAGACACATACGTATATTAGAATATGGGTGTGTGTTTGTGCAAAGGAAAAAGAAAATTTAAAAATAAATATTTCTACACAAAAATAATTTTTTATTTTTTTCCGTTTCAATAATTTTATATTCTTTTCTGTTTCATACATTTCAATCTCCATTTGAATTATTAAAATTTCTGTTTGAGTATTATTTATTTTTGTATTTTAGTATTATTTATTTACTCTCCTTTTTTAAAGCGAATTCTCACCACATGTTCCATATTACTTCAGCCTCAGAAAGATGGAATTCAAATGAAACATCTGTTAGCGTATAGTTTGATAATCAACGAATTAAAAAAAAATTTCCCCTCGATTTTTATTTTTCTGTTATTCTACTTTGTTCTCTAAAGTTTTAAAATTTTGTTTTGATCACATCTTGAATTCTTTACTTTCATTTTAATTGTGTATCTATGAGCACACACCTGTATACATATAAAAGCTAAGAGACACTATATTTAAAAAAAAAATGGTCATTTTGTTATTTTGGGTGTTTAAATTCAGTGAAGAAAATTTTCTCGAACTACTTTTTTGATGTATGAAACATATGTTTTGTAACATATGTTTGAAACATATGTTACTTTTTTGTTGTTATTTACGTAATGAAATATAAACTTATTTATAACGCAGATAAGTTTGCAGACATATGTCAGAACTTCGCAAACACAAAAATAAGTAATAAATCAAAAATAGAGAAAATGACTGTAATATTACAAAAAACTCTAATTTTGTGGGCGAAGCATGCAATTAAAAAAACTCTCTAATTAAAAGCATAAAAAATCCTTATTTATAACCATCCTGATCTTTTACT